CGAGAAACTAAATTGACATCAAACATCCAGTTCTTTTGAAAAAAAAATTGGAACTCGTAACCAGGTGTTTTGTTTTTGACAATTGGAACTAGGGTTGCCGATATTTTTTTAGAGATTGAGACTAAAAATTTAGCTGGAAGTCCGAAAATTCTCGTAGAAAGCGCTTTCATCCTCGGAGTACTACACTCTAAAAAAAAATTCTATTACGGAACCTAAAAGATTTCCAGTTCACATCCACACAAAGCACCTTTTTTTAGGTTCTGTAACATAAATGTTTTTAGAGTACAGAAATGGTGACCGGAGGAGAGAGGAAGAATGAAACCTATCATGATTGGACTGTCTCTGAACAGACGGCTTGCCACTAGGCCTTTCCTCCTCCAGGATATGCCACAATTCTATTCGCCTTGTAACGACACTGTCTGCTTATTCTTATTTTACTTTCTGCCAGAGAATAGCAAACGGTGTTTCAAAATTCTGTTTCTGTCCAAAATTACCATGAAGCTGTAAAAAGTCGCCAGAAAGGAAGCCCTCTCCACAACTGAGAATCTTAACTGGAACAGTTACTGAATAGAATTTCTACATTATTGTTATCAGAAGACATAAATTCATCCTTGAAAGGAACGATGCGCCGAACGTAATAAAAGACTTCCGCTTAATTAATTAATTAATTAATTTCTCAAGAAATTAAAATTTGAATTAGTATATTTACATTAAAATATGCCTAAGTTTTCAAGGTTTTAAGCAGAAAATCTTAAAAGACTGAAGTTAGCATTATTTCTGAACTTTTAAAGCCCTAAAACTATCTATCCAAATTCTCATAGAAACTTTGTATACTTGGACATAATAGAAGATCCTGGATCTTCTATTGCGGAAGAAGGAGAGTTAGTTCATATGAAAGAAAAAAACTTGATCACTTGTCAGATTTTTTCGAAAAAAGAATCATCTCATAGAACTGTGAGTTATCATAGATCAATTAGTAAATATAATATAATTTAAATAGAAATTCTTCCATCATCATCATCAAATAATCGAAATGATATTTTATCATCATCACAAAGTTTACCAACTCAAGAACAAATTCTTCGTTCTCAATATGATAATGAACAATGTGATTTAATGTCATTAATTAAAGTTCATGAATATTTAACTAAACAACAACATCCATCATCAACAATAACAGTTGTTGAACAATTAGTACCATCATCATTAACACCACCAATACATCATCAATCACATTCAACATTAACATCAGTTACATATCGTTCATCACTTGCTAAACAAGCACCTACTAATGGTCAACTTATATCAACACCATCACATACATCATTTTCATCAACTGAAATTCCAATTAATCATATATCACAAGATGGAAATGAACGTCGAAATAGTCTTACGAGTGATATACATCATTTAACACGTTCACCAAATACATTTGAAACATCAATAACATCAAATTCATCATCAAATTCAAATAAACATCAAGATACATTATCATATTTAATTGAACAAAATCAACGTGCTATGCAAAGACTTATATCAAATCATAATGATAATCAAACTGGTATTGAATCAACAACATTTTATTCATCAGCATCAATGCGTGCAGTTGATTATGAAAGTGGACCATTAACAACAACAGCAATATCAACTGAAAAAATACAACAAAAAAGTACATTAATTGAAACAGGTTCATTATCAACACTTGATTTTCCATCAGCTATTTTACATGCTGAAGAACAAATTTTATATGAACCAGCAAAACTTGATTGTAAAGTAAGACAATTAATCTTTTGGAAATTATTTCCATTTTTGTGAAACTTGCATATATTTTTCGAAGAAAATATAGAGTGGAAGTTTTGTGGTTTTCCATTTCGAACCTTAATAGCAGAGAGAATAACAAACATCAGATTCTTCTTTCAAAGTTTCTTAAAAAAGGCGCTGAAAAGTATTAACAACAAAACTTCGACTGTTCTAGAACATTCCAAAGTCTTCTTCGAATACGTTTGTGAATGTTTTAAATAATGTAGGTTTTGATTTTTGCACAGATAAAAATTTATATTTAAGATATCAAAGATGATGATGAGTAGTGATGCATTGATTTGTCACAATTGTCATATGATCAATATAAAAAGCGTAAACTGATCAAATTATAACTTTGGAAAATAATTAATCTCAGTATTTATGAGGTTATCGAAACATAATAGTGAGTTGAAACCTGCTGTAAATATAATTAACATCTCATGGGAACGACTTTTTTCAATTTCCATTTCCCGTTTCTGTCAAAATTTTTTGTTTCCGTTTGCGCATTCTCATTTCCGTAATGCTTTCAGAATTCCTATTACAAATTCATTTTTTATGTTTGAGAAAAACCAACACTACCAGACATTAGCTTCTGTCAACTTCGCACTTTATGCAATATGAGATAAGGTTAAATTAAAAATAAGATTATTATTGGAGGTACATTTTAGTAAAATAAATCAATTATTATTTTGTACGTTGAAATTTATCGATGTTAAGTGAAGAAAATTATGTCCTTCATTAATTGAATAATGAAAACGAAAATCTACAATAGATCATCCTGTATTGACTTATCAATCAACTAGACTTACTGCTAGACACTTTTCCATCTCTTGTACGTCAAATAAGAAATAGAAAAACTCATCAAAAAAAATTTATATTGTACTTACACACAGTAGTCCAAGACCTAGTAAAAGAACTGATTTACGCTATATGTGTAAAGATTATAATGTAGGTCTCTGTGACATTGGTTGTCTCAAGAAATTTTATATATTTTTACATTTTTAGTTTTTTTGCACTAACTTTCCTTCTCATGTATTATTGAATTGTTGTTTATTATACTTCTTGGATATGTGCTTTGTTTGCATTAAGTCCGAATGAAAAAATTCTGATTAATAATTATAATTAATTTTGTTAGTAATAATTCAATTTTTCTTTTTTGTAAAAAAAAGTCGCTCCTCAAAAGATTAATAAATAATGAATGAACTTTGTCTAATCTTGGTCGATAAGTCGAATTCTATTTCTCAACAATGTAACATCAGATTCACTGCGACACTTTTAGTTGGAAAGAGTAAAGTCTGGAGAGTATATATATCTAACAAAATGATTTTCGAGAATACGTTTTTTTTAATATCGTTTCGGTCCTCAAAGTCTTCACAGGAATTCCCACTCTTGATTCTTGCAAGACACTAAATATAATGGATATTGTGCAACAGGTTTATTTATCAGATAAACCAATGGCTAGAATAATAATAATAATAATAATAATAATGTGAAATTAAGAAAAACTGAATACAAAAAACAAACGAAAAATAACAAGCGAATAGCAACAAAGTAAACAAAAACCTTCTGTGCCGTAATGCAGAAATAAATGAGACAGATTGCTTCTCTTAGAAAACAGCTATAGTTTGCAAGAGATTTTCCTCTTGACCTATTCTGTATTAGGATAATGAGGGCAAAGAATACATATGAGTTCCACATTCCAGTCTCAGCAGGAACTCCGGTAACAAACATTTTTCTTTTAAAAAAAGAAAAAAAAACTTTTATTTAGATTGATTCAGATGATCGTGGTATACTTGATGAACCTTCATTAACACTTCTTTCGAATAGTTATCGTTCATTAACAACAACGACAGGTCAAAATCCAACTGCTATTATTGTTCAATCCATGTCACAAAAGAAAAAACAATGTTCATCACCACTATCGAATTATGATGATAAAACAAGTGCTTGTTCAACACCTTCATTATCACCAATTAAAAATGAACCATTAATTATGATAAATACAACAAATCGACATGAAATATCAACACCATTACAAATAAATATGCCATCTATTAATCAACAATCGCCATTAATTGCATTTACATCAACAAATTCATCAATAAAATATTCAATAGAAAAGAAAAAACATCAAACAAATAGTAATGATACATCTTTACTTTCATTTGAACAACATGAATTAAGTGCAGATAATGTAACAGTAATGACAAATAATGATATTGATAATGAATTTAAATCAATTGAAAATCTTTCATCAAATCATATTGCAACTATTGTTGCTCCTTCGACAACAAAAACTACTGCCGATTGGTCTTATTTTGTTACAGTTGGTACCGAAACTTCAAAAGAAATTAAAAAATCAACGCCATTAACATCATTATCATCATCATCATCATTATCAAGTAGTAGTGATCAAGGTGATTCTCAGACGCGACAACATATGGGTGGTCTTGAGTTTTTTATCGATGGAAAACAACAAGATACTTATACTCGTAAGTCAAACAACAGTATATTCTGTTCTATAAAAATTATCTTTTCTGTTTTTTTTTTTACTTTTTAATTAGCAAAAATTGTTCAATTGCCTTCTCTTCAATCAGCTTTACAAACACATCGTGCTGAGTTTGTTGCAACAAGTCAAAAACGTATCGATGAAATTAAAGCTAAAGATTATACAAAAATAAATTCATCATCTATTCCTATATCATCTCGTTTAAATTCACAAAAACAAATAATAACATCAACATCAACAAATTCATCAAAGATTATTGTTGAAACTGATTCTGAAGAACGACAACGACGTGCACGTGAATCAAAAGAACGTTCTAAACGTTTATATGATCAATTAGCTGAAGTTCAACAGAAGAAAAAATTTCATGAAACAAAACAACAAGCACAAGCTTATCGTGCACGTATGAATGCTTTTCAGGCAGCATTAGATAAAAAGAAAACAAATAATAATAAAAAATTATAAGAAACACAGTGATGCGTCTGATATATATATTTATCTTTAGTATGTGTGGTACTTCTTTTTTTCTTTTGTCTATATCATCTATTTGGTGTGATTATATCGGTAGATAGTTTTGTTTGTGTGTCTTGTCTTGTCTTTAAAAAATAAAACAAAAACAAATAAAAAAAAAACTAATTACAAAATGATTGTCGTATAGATTTATATTTTATTTATTTATTTTATTCATCTAACTTTATTGATAACGATAATGATTATTTATAGGATAATTTTTTCGATTTTTATGATTTCGAGTTAAGAATAATACTTTTTTCGTTGGATTATTTATTTCATCACTTCTATAATTGTATCTTTGTTGATATAGAGATTTAGATGATGATGCTGATTGATGTGTTGATACTGGATTTAATTTTGCACCATTATTCATACGTAATTTTTGATTTGGTATTGGTCGACATAATAACATATTGAATAATTCATGTCGACCATGTTTACCACTAACTATAGAAACAAATACATTAAATGCATAATTAGATAATTCTAAAGTTTTTAATAAATGTGGTGCAAAATGTGTTAAGAAACAACTGGGAGGTTCTTGATAAAAATTTAAATAAAATTGAAGAAGATATCTAAGAAATAAAATTTCAAAAAAAAAAAATAATAAATTTTTTCGAAAAAAAAGAAAAGAAAAAAGAATCTTATTCATTTACCGAGGTGAAACTGTAAGAAGAAGAATACATGATGAAAAAAATATCATTGGTGTCACTTGTCTAGGTTGACCATGACGAGTAAGTAATGTTGAAGTTAATTTTAATGATTGTCCTCGTGTTCTACGTACACTAACAAATAGAATTATATTCGCCGTTAGAAGTAATACAAATGGAATAACAACACGAAATATAACTATTATTAATAAATATGTACGTTTTATATTTGCAGTAAAGAATGAATATTGTTTATCATCGGTTTCATTTAACATTGAAGATTGTTCATAATGACATACTATTGTATGACTCAGTTCCCTATACACTCTAAATATAATTAAAAAAAATTTTTTATATATAATGTTTGTGTCCAAGAAATATTTAAGTATCAGAGAATAATTATTTGAGAAGTCTTATATACTTGAAAATGTGTTTTTTCAACCTAAGCCATTATCATATTTTGTGCGTAGGGTTAATCTTTGTATCATTATTATTACTTATTTAATTATTCTATTAATGTCGTATATTAAAAAAAGAACTCAATTTCATCATTAGAACAAAATTTCTTGAATATTTTTAGAAACCAAAGCAAAACTAGACTGATTATAGATTATAGATTTTACTCAATTCAACTCTTAAGTAAATTAGAATTTGCTTCTTATACAATAAAACTAGTAGAAGAATGAAAATTTTAATGCACACAAACTGGTTTTTAATTAATTCAAAGTAATTAAAATAAAATTCTAAACAAACTAATAATGACTTTTCATTTTATATGTTGATTTTTCTTAGCCTTACTATTTACTATTAGAATTAGACTGTTTTCAAACTTCTTTGTTTTTCTTCTTTATAAACAATAATTGTCTCAAAAGAATTTGAATGAATAATGAATTTTTCATAAGAATAAATACATAGGAAAATATATATTATGTATAATCTAGATTAATATTAATTGTTGAAATAAATTTTTAATATTTTAAAACAATAATTTCACAATGTATTATAATTTTTAATTAAATTTATAACAAACATACAAATAGATATTAATTCAAGAAATCTATACTAACTCGTCTAGTCGGAAAAATACTATAAATAGTTTTATATGAAAATTATCAATACAATATATATATATATATATTCTTAATAGAAAGTTCGATGAAGTCTGACCTTTTTAAATTAAAACCAGGCTGTAAAACAAATGAATTAGCAGCACATGATACAAAAATAACACTAAGAATGACTACCAAAGTACGTTTCCTTCGTGTTTTAGTAATTGTTAGTAATGGTCTATAAATAACTAAACATCGTTCAACCGTTAAGAAAACAGTAAGCCACGCACTAATTGAACTTGTCATAGATTCTGTAAATATTTGTGTTGGACATTCAAATGAATGAAAATTAAGTTTAAATATTTTAAAATCAAGTAAAAAGAATAGACCCCAAACAGTAAGACGTACAAGATCAATAACCGCAATTGCTGAAAAATAATATGAATAAGTAGAACGATGAAAATTCAGTGATGTAGCAAAATAATATAATGCTATTGGATTAAATGTAAGACCAAATATAAATAATGCAATCGCTGGTATTAAATGTCCATATAAATAAACCGATCCAGTCAGTGGTATACACCAATTATCGTCGGCAATTTCAGTGAATGACAATGTTGTATTGGCCATAGCTAATCTATTCACAATTAAGAAAAAAAAATGTCGCAATATAAATGTATGAATAGTTCTAATGAATTTCCTCTCTGATCTTTTTTCTATATAAATGCTAAATAAATCATGTTCTAGAATTGTATTTGATTAATAAACATAGCTCAAAATGCTTTACTGTTTGTATATAAAAAGAGGGAGAGAGAGAAATGAAAAAAAGAAAATCGACACGAATAGAAGCACTAACCCCTTTATGAGTAGCGCGTGGCATACAGCTTTTAGTTCAATCGATGGTTCGATAGCTGCGCAAATAAAAATCTAATAATGAGTCTGCATATATTTTGAGACCTTAATTAAACTGATAAAACTATTTATGACAACATATTGTTGAGGAAAATATTATTCTTCGAGCATTAATCTACTTTCTTTTTTTTTATTCTAATAACTATATCTTGTCGATAATAATCAACTCTATCAAAAAAAAAAACTGTTTCAAACGCATCTTAAATGCAATAAAACTATTAGAAATATATGACTAATAAAATTACTTTCCTTGTCATTGCTTTTCTTTTTAACAAAATTTACACAATGTCAGTATATCTTAGTTCAAAGAGCGTTTAATCATTTCTTTTTTCTTAAAAAAAAAAAATTCTGCCTCATTATTTCCAACTATTATTTGTGTACGATAAGAAGAGAATGGAAATAGAAAAAAAAGGTTACTTAATAGGATAAAGAGAAATGCTGGATTCTAATTTTTTTATTTCAAATTTTCAAGCTTTTATTTTTCTCTACTTTTCTTTTCAATCTCATCTTGAAGTCACTATATAAACTCAAATGTCAGTCAAATTGATGAGTGTATCATTAGACACATAGAAAAAAAATCTAATGAAATTATTTGACAACGTGCATAGGTTATTATGACTTACTAAAATAATTTTCTGATGTATTCAAGTACTTGACAATGGTATGAATATTTTATTATCATAAAATATTCGATAAATTATTAGGTTATACTTAAAGAAACTGAAGGAGAAAAAAAACTGCGGAAATCTTATTAGAATATTCATGAAGTAGAAAATGATGTTGATATACTGTTCAATTATTAATCATACAATAACTCTTCATGATTATCAATACTTTTGTTTTTCGCTATTCTTAATATTCACAACGATACAAAAAGAAACCAGTCAACAACTAGTACATCTGTAAAATCTGGCTTAACCCTCCGCAGACGTTGTCACTTTGAAACTTCATAGATGTTGTGGGGTTCAAATGGACCCACCCATAAAAAATTGTAACAAATCGATACTTTTGTTTAACTTCAGCTAGTCATTTATGTACTATAAGCCTCTAAATACTCTGTTCATAAATATATGTGTGTTACATTTCATAAAGATAATACAAAGGAATACAATATCGAGAAAAGTTGTCTGACATTGATTTCATTACAACACAGAAATATAGTTGAAAAAAGTCATCGATCCAATGCACTCAGCCTATCGAATAGTAGAAATATGCTCGTATATCCACATACATAATGGGTATTAGATATGAAGAGAAGGAATTTGTCTCTTTTTCGACAGCTTTATTTTTATCTTTTTCTTTTTACCATGATTAAAAAAATCTAAAATAGTAGTTTTCCTGGCACAATGAAGGTATTGTTGTCATTTGATTTTCCTGGTGGAATGTAGAATTTTTTAAAATTCTTCGCTTCACATGTCTGGCAAGTGACCATTGTAATGCTTTTAGAATGAGAAAGCCTTAGCAAGACAAAAAATTATACTTATAACACGATGAGTGTTCTAGGGTCCATGTAGACCCACCACTGTATTCCTACTTCCTTACAGCTATTTCTGATTTCTAGTGAGAATATTATGAGCCAACTAAGGATTAGAGATTAGAGAAAGAGAATGGCCCAAAACAACAAATAGTGACGGACTACTAAAGGAAAAATGATCAGATAGATCCGCGCGGATCCCACAACGTCTACAGAGGGTTAAATAAATAACTAGAATAGCTAAAGATAAATCTAAAATTAAATATAAGAATTCATTGAATGTAAATATCATACCAACTATTAAAAATATTTGACTGGAATGAAAACCAAAGTATTGTAAAGAATGCGTGTTTTTATCCAACTGTTTGTCTATCTTACTGACGGAAATTTATTAAAAGTGTAGTGATATTACAAAAAAATAATTATAAAGAAATTGCTGACAAGCACGTAAATAAAAATTTCAAGAACTACATTAATTACAGAACAAAATGCCGAGATAAAGGTTATCTAGGGTCTAGATTATACTGGAAATAATCTGACAACGACAGAGTGATTAGATAATAATTAGTTGATGCTACTAAATTTAGGTATTGAAGCGATCTATTGCGTATTCACTATTGTTTGTTATTTTTGTTGATTAACTACAATTTATAAAAACATATGAGCATGAAGTATGTTGTATACGTCTTCATTTTTTTTTAAGAACAATTAAAAAAATAAATTATAGAGAAAGTCAGATATTATTCAGAGAGGACAGTGAGTGAATAAACAGGAAGAATAATTATAAGAAAAAAAAACGGAAAGATGGATATGCACACATAAAATAGGTAGCATCATGAAAAATATGAATAAAGAAAGTCATAAAATAGTAGACAAGACAAAAAAAGTTCTTTTTTTTAAATATTTTTTCATGCAGAAATACATCGAAGTTATATTTTAATTACAAAGAAATATTTCTCTCATTGTACGTCTGATGATTCAGAACGACATTCTTATTCTATTCTAAACAATTCTAAGTAGATTATATATTATGAAAATGTCATGCATAAAATTAATGAAGTTTAAAAAAAGAAACCAATCTAAGAAAATACTTCCTTTTAAATTATTTACTTTAAAATATTTTTTTCTAAATTTGATGTTGCACTGACTTATTCACAAATAATCTAAAATATATACAATGAAAATACTATACAAGTAATATCGTATCAAAATAAACTAATATATATATACAGGGTGGTCCAAATGTTACGCATCCGACAAAAAAGCTGAATATCTTCATTAAGGCTTGAGCAAACGAGCTGATTTTTTTATCAATGATAGAGGCGTGTTCAAGGTTTATATCCATAAAGACAAGCCTGGAGAGACCGTTCGTTAAGTATCATCAGTGATCTCAATAAAAAAATTTTACTTTTTTACAGACACAAAAATAAACAATATACATGGTTGTACAAAAGTCAATTTACTGAATAAAAATTGAATATCTCAATTACGACTTGAGAAAACGAGCGTATTTTTTTATTAATTAACGAGACATGTTCAAGCTTTATATCCGTAAAGACATGCCTTGAGAGATCCTTTGTCAAGTATATTCTTCTTTTTTTTCTATCTGTGAAAAAGTAAATTTTTTTTGTTGAGATTACTAGTAATACTTAACGAAAGATCTCTCTAAGCTTATCTTTATGGATATAAATCTTGAACATACCTCTATCATTGACAAAAAAATCAGCTCGTTTGCTTAAGTCTTAATGAAGATGTTCAATCTTTTTTTGTCGGATGCATGACTCTTGAACCATCCTGTATATATATGAGTAAATTTGACAGTTGATCCCGCCCGGTACACTATAGATTAACTTTTTAGACATTATTGTTGTTGAGATATGATGTTGTATTTATTGTGTATAATAAAGTAAAGAGAAAAATATTATTTGATTATTATTGGATTCATATGAAAGGCGCGTGTTGATCAACATATTTGACTGTAATATAGCTTGATTATGAAAGAAATTGTTTGACATATATATATATACTCATTTAGTTAATGCTTTTCCTTTTCTTAAAGTTTTTATTGTTGTTTTTACTTTTATCCTTGCATGATTGCGTCTTCTTTCATTAGAATAATATTTGTTAACGATCTAGACATGAATTTATATTCATATTTAAATGATTAATGCAGATTCTTATTCATCAATCATGATAACAGAAAAACAAGTTGAACATGTTATTATACCAATGCCACATGAACATTTTGTTGTGCTCACACCAAATATTATAATTATTTTTTTGACTATCATTTTAATTGTTTTTTATATTCGTCAAAGTACAAATATTAGACAAAGAATAGCTGATAGACAGCATGATTTCAATGATATACATTCAACATTATCATTACCAAATGTTCTTTCTAATACATATCAAGGATCTTTATCTAATCGAAGTCAATCATTAATGACTTTTTAACAACAAAATTTTGATCAATTATTAACAGAATCAATATTGTAGAAATATCAATTCGTGATTTTATTCTAAACAATTTTTTCGAGAATATATAACTACATCCTCATTTGTTGATATTATATTAAGAGAGCTTCCATGAGCTGATCGAGCATCACTCCAATATACGAGGCACTCGATAAAATTTTTTTTTTCGATTTTTTTTGCTCATTCAAAACTTCAATGTCTAAAACTACTAACCCTCAAATTTTAGGTTCTAATACTCTTCCTATGAAAAGTTAGCCAAGACCAACTTTTGGCACAATCAGGCCTTTTTGCGAAAAAATAAGAAAAAATATTCTATAAAAGATGTGCTAGCTTACGTTTCAGCAAATCATTGAAATTTTTTGTGGTATACATAGAAAGATAGAGAATTGAAAACTGAATAAAATCAGCTAGGTTGATATAACATAATGGCTAATAATTTAAGTTTTATAGAGCGAATATGAGTCAAGGGGTGGTCCTTTTGAACAGTGCAAATAAACAGTATAACTCGTGCTGTGTTTCAGAATTAAGAGATCCCACGCTGAATTTTATATATATTGTGCATTTTTTTATTCTCTACAAAATGGTAAAAAAATATTTGAAAAAAACGTTTTCATCGATGCGAAAAAGGGTTTACACTATCTAATTTTTTATGGTTTTTGATAGTTTTTCAATAAAAAACGAATATTTTTAGACGTTTTTTTTTATCGTAGAATAATGTTAAAGCAAAACAAATGTGATATTCAGAATCAGCGTGCAAAACTGCATCCAACCATATATATTTCATCCAAAGGTTTTTCCTAGCCAAAACTGACCTGTGGTCCCCCTCAGCTATATTTAAAAGAAATTTTTCTCCCTGGTCCCCCTCAGGTCAGTTTTGGCTAGGAAAAACTTTTGGACGAAATGTATATGGTTGGATGCAGTTTTGCACGCTGATTCTGAATATCACATTTGTTTTGCTTTAACATTATTCTATGATAAAAAAAAACCTCTAAAAATATTCGTTTTTTATCGAAAAACTATCAAAAATCATAAAAAATTAGATAGTGTAAACCATTTTTCGCATCGATGAAAATGTTTTTTTCAAATATTTTTTTACCATTTTGTAGAGAATAAAAAACTGCACAACACATATAAAATTCAGCGTGGAATCTCTTAATACTGAAACACAGCACGAATTACACTGTTTATTTGCACTGATCAAAAGGACCACCCCTTGACTCATAGTCGCTCTATAAAACTTAAATTATTAGCTATTATGCTATATCAAGCTAGCTTATTTTATTCAGTTTTCAATTCTCTATCTTTCTATGTATATCACAAAAAATTTCAATGGTTTGCTGAAACGTAAGCTAGCACATCTTTTATAGAATATTTTTTCTTATTTTTTCGCAAAAAGGCCTGATAGTGCCAAAAGTTGGTCTTGGCTAACTTTTCATAGGAAGAGTATTAGAACCTAAAATTTGAGGGTTAGTAGTTTTAGACATTGATGTTTTGAATGAGCAAAATAAATCGAAAAAAAAATTTTATCGAGTGCCTCGTATACTCGATGCTCTCATGAGCGCTCTCTTAAATAGTTGAAAATATTTTATAAAAAATTCCCAGGACAACATCATTGGTTTACTCATTGTTGCACATTGAAGTATAGTTATTTTCAAAAGTAATTTTGTTAAAAGAATGTTTTCTTTTATTTTTGGAGAATAATACGTAAAAAAGAAAAATCAACAAGATAAAGATGATTCTGTTTTCTACGTGCAGAAGATTTATTAAACTATCCTACTGATGATAGGACTTAAAAGAACATAATACTGATTATAAGTCACTTAAGAAGAAAAGCAATTGCAGTAAAGTACAAACATAAAGTACAGAAAATAATGTGCTAATATCATATCAATTATGAATGATGGCTTGCATACTTGAACGACTTTGGCATACGAACAGACTACATAGACTATCGACAAGAGAGTATATTGAAACATGTAGAATAGAACAAGATTATGCAAACATAGTGCTGTGGGAAGGACAAGCTCAAACATAATGTTAATACTCAAGAACAAAATATCTTAATCATTATGCTGTTCTTCCAAGATGATCCTGTTTTATTATATTGTTCACTTCGTTCATCTAAATTCCTACAAGATATGACATATCAAAAAGAATAATAACGATCTATCAAGTTCACATATACCTTTCTTTTATAACTTAATCTAAATCTATTCGATTTATCCATTGAGATATTAAAATAATTATAATGAATTTATTTAATCCTTTCGAGATGGGAGACACATACAGGCATTTACCATCCCAAAACAATTCAGAACTTATTGATACGACTTATTATCGATTTAACTGACATTGCTCTATGATTAGATACGAGCGACATATATATGTGCCGTACTAGTCTTTGAAAATTCAATAGAACTGATTAAAAGTAAAACTTAATTCATTTTCACTAATTTCATAATTCATTATTTTACTTCGCAAAAAAATATTTCGTCTTGGCAGGATTAACAGGTTTCCTCTTATCTATAAATTCATTTCATAAACATTAAAATATCTATGTTACAAGATATTTATCTTATTAATTGTAAGCATTTTTTCATAAGCTTTTCTATTTCAAACAAACTAGCTGTTGTCTTCTGATTCTATTGTTATAGATGGATTAAAAATCATATGATTCCTCATTGATCCGACGATAATATGCATTATTAAAATATTTCATTTCATTTTTAGCTATTCTATAATGTTGAACAAGGTTTTGAATAATTATCAACTTGTTCACCATAAATTTATCAGCAATGAAATGTCGAAATCAATGTTAAAGAAATAATAACCTATTCATTTCATTGACACAAGCAAACAAATCGAACAAGATAGATGTATATGTAACTATTGACATATCTAAATGCAACAAAGGATTGACAGATAATTACAGACATGGACCATTCATATACTCTATTGATTGATTTACTTGATGAAATACTCCTGACTAGTTTGCAAAAAAATTTGAATAATATCGATGTGTTCTATTTTTTTAGTGGATGTTCATAAAACGACTTGACTATTTTCAATTATTGAATATCCTTATATTGTGTGTTTGACTCTTCTGATTAAGATTGATCATAATTATGTTGAACAATTTCTTATACGAAAACATGTTTATCAAACTTCATCGTTTTACTATCGATTATAAACGTTTGTGAAGAGTGACGTACAATTTTACAAGTGATGCAATACGTATTCATTGTGTCAAAATGAAATCTCTGTACATTTGTAATAAATCACGCTCTTTTTTCTAGATATTTTAAAGCCTATTTTACTGATGTACATACATTGTGATTTTTGTTGTTTATCTTTTATTTAAATAAAATGAGATAAAAGTGATCAATATATTTTGAATTGTTACATCAACAATAAAGAACAAAAGAAAAAGTAGTTTTATTGATTAAGTGAAGTTCAGTTGGAAAGAATTAATTTTATCTGTTGTTCTAACATTTAATTTCATAAATTAGAAATCTTGAAGAAGACATAAACTATTGCCCGATTCAAAATAAAACGTGATTTATCATTTTGTAAATAATTTTCGATAGAAACAAGATAGAGATCTGCAGTTTTCACCGTTCGAAAGAGGAATGCCTGGGCCATCGATCTATATAAAATTCATTAGAGCTAGGGATGTTTTCTTATAGGTGCTTTTGAATCAACATTTTTTTTCGTTGTGTATTTTCATCAATTTTCACAATAATCTGAGCTCAAGTTATACCAAAATGTAGCTCAAATCACCCTTTTTTTTTCGCTATAACATTATGAGATACTTCATTATCTCTCAAACACTTATTCTGATCGGATTTATAAAAAAGTGTGATAATTTTAAAGCGAAAAAAAGGGTGATTTGAGCTACGCTTTGATATAATTTGAGTTCAGTTTATTGTGAAAATTGATGAAAATACGCAAAGAAAAAGAAATGTTGATTCAAAAGCACCTATAAAAAAACATCTCTAGCTCTAATGGGTTTTATATAGATCGATGGTTCAGAACATCGCTCTTTAGAACAGTGAAAACCGCAGATCTCTATCTTGTTTCTATCGAAAGTTATGCAAAAAATGACAACTTGCCATTTATTTTAAATCGAGCAATAGTTTTAATTGGAACAATAACTATCAATCTCCAAAAGTAAAAACTTGATGATAATCAAACTTCTATTTTTGAACATTTTTAACTCCTATTTTTTTTTCAACTAAAGAGAAATCTCTGTCTCATTAATGGTATTGCATATTGATCGATCGGTTTATTGAAAAATATCGCATGGCTGATTATGGAGCATAGTTTCATAGGGAAACTTCGTCACCGTTTGATCATGATGATGACTTGTGTATTGAGATTAGAGCTAGCTCCTCGCTCGATAAATAAGTTCTTATCAAAAAGGGAATAGCTGACGAATGATTCTCAATATCAAAATAGAGTCATACGAAATCATTTTTAGAATCGATTAGAATTGCTCTAGTTCGGATAAAGTCAATTTTAATGATATCAAATGAGTCTATTATAATTCTCATCTTTGAGAGTCAACTATTTTTACATTTAAGTCCAATACAAAGATTATTTGAAAATGATTGGTATCCAAGAACATTATTTCTTATTTTCTGTTGTTTGAAAAATTTTTGTGTTCAGTTTTTTTTCTTTTTTGTTTTCATTTTATTTCGAAGATGACGATTAAGAATACATCAACTAAAGATAATATTTATCATTTTGTCAATGCTAAAATAAATGGATATTATGTATTAGGCAAAAATAATTCTCAACTTGTTCGAGATCAATTGGATCTTCTTGGTTTTAATCGATATGATTCTTTGCCTATTGGTGGTGTCAAATTCAATTGGATAACACGTAGTGCTGACATAGATTGGAAAACATTTGATTCAAATTTTCAAATTCTTAATCATATTTATAATGAAAGACAATTGTCAAATAAAGGTTTACTATTAACTAATTTAAAAAATTATGAAATGACTATTCTTAAAAATAAACGTTTTAATGAAATAAATACTAATAAAACAAGATTAATGCCATCATCAAATATTGATAATTATTTATCATTGAAAACATTTCTACCCGAAACATATTTACTTGATAATACAAATGATCGAATTACATTTAAGAAAATATTCAAAGATGGTTCAACATGGATTTGTAAACCTGTAGGACTTTCATGTGGACGAGAAGTATTTATTTTTCGTAGTCAACAACAACTTGAAAGTCTTTTAAATGAATATCATAAAAATTCTCGAAATAATCATTATTGTACATTATATTATAATCGTCTCGTTCAAAAATATATTGAAAATCCATTACTTATTAATAAACATAAATTTGATATTCGTACATATTTATTATGTATTTGTATATCAAATGAAATTTTATGTTTTGCTGCACAAACAGGATATCTTCGTTTGTCTATGTATAAATATGATTTAGAAAATATGAATAAATTTATTCATTTAACAAATCAAAGTATTCAAATCAAAAATAAAATTTTTTCATCAGTAAAACATAATACTGGTATGACAATGGATGAATTTAATGAATATTTTAATGAATATATTCAACCGAATATGCCTTATATTAAGAAAGGTTGGGTATTAAATGAATTACCTGTAAGAGAATGAAAATGATAACAAGTGATCGATAAGTTTTTAGATAAGGTGTTTGTTCACATTATTGACCCTCTAGAAAATATTTCCGATGAGTTAAAAGATATGAATTAGAATGTTCTTTTTGAATATGGTCTTAAAAAATTCTTCTCGATGTTTATTTAAGAGTGATGAAATAATCTTTGAAGAGTTCAAGATACTAGTTTGTACGGAACTTTTGGGCCGATGTTTCCGACGAAGATGTTTATTCATTCTGGCCTGTTTGAATGCATTTCAGACGAGCCAAAAACTATAGGTCGCGACCAGAATTTGAATATGAACTCAGAAATGTTGTGTCTATTTTGGTTCAAGAGCAGTGAAAGATGTTTTGGAAAACTTGAAAAATTAATTTCAATGATGAGTCAATAGGGTTCAGTTTACTCTAAAAGTTCATTATCAAATATGCTAAAAATTGTTGAAGTCAATCATTTTGTAGAGTGGATACTTCTCTACAAAATGTAATATTGAACAAAGTCGTAGCCTTTATCCAAGTGAGGGTACAAACATTTGTTTTTAAGAGCTCTTTTCAACATAAGACGATTATCAATATTTCAAAAATGAGTATTTAGGAAAAATGAAAATTGAGGTGGCTTATTGAAAGACAAAAAAAGACTTCAAATAGTGTATTTTGTAGAGGAGCTTCTGATCTATAAGTTGATATATAAATAAAGATTCCAAGTTTTAGTTTCGAATCGCAATAGTAAAATTACAAAAATTTTCCGTCCAAAATAATTTTTTGGGCCTTTTAAAGATTATTTCACTAGTCTCGAACAAAAACTGAGATAATATTTTTAAGCCCGTATTCAACAATAACGTCGTAACGCATAGCTTTTGATCTGTCAAAAACGCTTTCTAGTGAGTTAAAAGTGAACAAACAGTTCGTCTAAAATGTTTCTGATCATCCGTTAAATTTTGTAAAAAGACGATAGATGATCTATTCTATTTAGGAAAAAATTACAAAAATTCTTAATCAAGTAGCTGATTCAGTTAGAAATAAATTATCAATACGTGAAGGATGTTTTGGTTTTTATGGTGTAGATATTTTAATTGATGAAAAACTGAATTGTTGGTTACTTGAAATTAATAGTGGACCTACATTAGATATGACCAATGCAGCATTGGAAAAAGTTATTCCAATATGTCTCAATGCAGCTCTTAGTATATCAAAGCATTTTTATTTAATTTTAAAATTGGATTTAATCTATTTAACAGATATAGTGATTGAATCTTTGGATAATTATCGTTCATTAGGCTCAGTATTTCCTCTTCATAGTTCAAATATCTTTAAATATTTGTTACCATCAAATCCTCCTGTACTATCACCTATTATATCGAACCAAATTCCAATTTTTACATCTCTGAATACTCATCGTATTGATTTAACACCAGGAGTACTTGTTTCATTTCATCGTTATCGTCGATTACCTTTACTTTCACATTCAAAATCACCTAATCATTTCTCTAAATCTGTTCTTCAAAAAATTAAATTAACTCAAAAAAAATCAACACCAGTTAGAAGTCAACATCAATCGATCATTCATAATGTTATAAAAAAAATGGATCGAGAACATCTATCACATCAACTTACTGAATTTATTCGAATGAATAATAAACCAATAATATTAAACAATAAATTACATGAACAAGATTCGATAATCCATTCAATTCTTCAATAAATATTACCTACGATTGATAAGAATTACTGAATACTAACTAGTACTAATTATATGTCCGAATAACGAATATAAAATTGATCGTGAAATTTTTCTTTTGAATCATTACGCATAATTTATTCACAAAGAGTTGAACAAAGAACAGTACTTTTATTTTGTATTTCATTTTATGTTGAGTGCAGCATTTTAAATGACGAATAATATTGTAAATAAATTGAATGAATATTTCTCAAAAACATCTATTAATCAATGTACGTAAATAAAATGAAATGAAATGCAATGCTAAATATAGAATAAAGGAATAGTTACATTTAACCTTGGATATATCTGTCTCGAAATATTAAACTTGCAAAAATCCAGTTAGTCGTAAAAGGAAAGTAACAATGCTTAGGACTTTTCTAAACTCTTTATCTCGAGATAGACATATTTATATATGTCGAAATCTTTAGAATATTCTAGTTTCAATTTGATCAAAGTATTTGAATTTATTTTTATTTTTGAAACAATCTTGCTAAAAAGAAAATATTCAGTCAAATGACTAAACCTTAAGAAAGAACGATATGTCATGGATTCGAGTTCTTGCACCAGCAATCTAGTCTGGATGTCGCCCATTTACGTTAGAAACATGGACTTAACAATGGTGAATTACTTTGAATAGTTAGTTTCTTCACTGATGTGGAATATGAATGAATCATAATAGAATTTCATTCAAATTCTCTTCGTTATAAGGTATTCAACATATAGATCTTTTTTTTTACTACGAATTTAGAATATTTTATTCCTAAAATGTATATAATTTATTTCGGAGAATAGCAGTGAGATAGTAAATAAAAAACCCATAGTTAACATTTATAATCGTAGAAAAATTAGAATTTTATTTCGTGAACATATCTCAACAAATAATTCGATCATAGTTAATGTTTAATATAGTTTATGAGTAAAATGTTTCTGTAATTATTGATTAATAAAAATCAATGAAAACTGTTTGATGATGTAAAAAAGAAATTTTCGAATCATTAGATATGTTATCTACAAATCCATCTACTACAATAATTACCTATCTCTGGTATTAGTTTATTCTACTCCAATAAGCATACATAATTATGCATAAATTAAAATTGTAAAATTTTGAATATGAAATGGCATATGAAAACATATTATATATTTTACATTTTTCAAAAAACAAAATTAGTTAATATTATGTGTTATTTTACAATTAATAATTGCATCACTTTCCATAAACATAAAAACAAGTCATTTTTATTTACAGATGATTCATTCAACAAATATTGATGATGCTGTGTGCACACGATTCTATAGTGATCGTCACGTTTTAAATAACCGTCATATACATTTTTCTCTTTCTATATATATATTCGTAGAGTGTATATGATCCTTACTTAGTATTGTTCTTTAGAATCTTTTCATGTCAACAAGTACAACATATATTGCGGATCAACAACGTACATTTAATATAACCAATGAAAATAATAATTTTCAATCATTGGTCAGTTTGTTTTCCATCAAGAAAGAAGAATATCGAGATTTTAATTGTCTTAATCAAACTATTCGTCAATTAGATTTTGATTTTTATAATGATCTTCTTCCAACAATAGCTAAATGGGCTTCTGATCACACACAATCAAAGTTAATTGAACCACTTCAAGCAGGTACAACAGCAACCATTGTTTATACAGCAGCACAAGTACGTTATATTCTTGCAAATGCTTTTTTTCTTAATACAAAATCAGGATATGGAAATATTGATTTAACTCATTTATATGATTCATTATTTGATGGTTTAGCTGTTGAAAGAATACGATGTTTAATTGAATATTTTCGTCTATCATCACAACAAAATGATAATCGACAAATTTCAATTGAACGATATTCATATAAAAATGAATTACCAGATTGGAATAAACAAAATATTCCAATAGAATCATCAAAAATTAAAATATTTACTGGTCGAATGGAAGATGCTAATGAAGCACAAGGTCTTGTTGATTTTGCTAATAAACATATTCATATACATAGAATTATTCCATCAGCTACACAAGAAGAAGTTATATGTAAACAAATTTTTTTTTTAATTAATTAACATATTTTATATCTTTTTTTTATCTTTGTGTTAGTTAGTTGTTGTCCAGAAGCATTTTTATCTATTCTTGTATGTGAAACATTACAACATGATGAAATTGTTATTCTTCGTGGATGTAAACGATTTATTGAATATACTGGTTATGCTGATACATTTCGTTATAAGAGTCATCATCATGAACAAAATCCAGCATATATTCAAGAGATTCTTGTTATGGATGCATGTTATAATGGTCAATTTATACGAAATACTATTGATCGAGATTTAGGCAAAGCATGGGCAGCATTTGATAAATCAAAAGATGAAATTATTGTTACTGGAAATTGGGGATGTGGAGTATTTGGTGGTGATTTAATATTAAAATTTTTACAACAATTATGTGCAGCAATGATACTTGGAGATCATTTTAAAAGACTAGACTATTCTGTTTATGGTGATGAGAAATTAGCAACAAAACTCAAATATTTAGTGGAAAATTTGGAAAATAATAAAAAGACAGTCGCTGATATTTATCAAATGATGATCAACTATAGTGAAATTAGTGAATTACGTTCGTCACGACCAGAATTTATTGACTATTGTGAGAAATGGCTAAATGCTTCGTAATGTGTTCATTGAAAGTTCGTTGTATATCTTTTTCTTTTTTTACTAATCATGATATATTGTAGAAGTTTTCTTAATGAACGACAGGTGTGAACATTTTTTGAATTAATCTTGAAATTTGAGAATAAAATATTCGATATGCTCAGTAAAGAATGTGAGGTTTCGATTTGAGAATGTATGAAATGGCTTCAGCCTCCGAAATTTTCGTAGGCTAAATAAAAATTATATACCAATCTATACTATCTAACTATAAGAAATCTCACGTCAAAACTGCCTACCGTACTTTGGAATAAATGAATAATAATAATAATAATATATGTATATATAAGTTCGAGTTAATCTTTATTGATGAATATCAATAATGACATATATATATATATATATATATATATATAATATTGAAAACGTTGTTGATCAATAACAATAATGGTCAACGATAATAACAGAAAAATATAATAATAATAACCAACAATAACAGAAGAAAACGATGATAACACGAGAAAAACAATAATAGTGATAATCGAAAAGAGATCAACAATAATGATAATCAAAAGAGAACAACAAGATCGTATATAGGATATGAAAAGAAAAAATAAAAAACGTAATAGAAAAAACTAGAATGACGCAATATGAAGTAGATCATCGTGATCTCATGATCAGTGTTTCCAATGGAAATCGAAAACAAAATGTACGTGTACACTTTGGTAATATAGTCAAAGTGTACGTTTACAGTTTGTTTTTGGTACCAAGATGTACAGAGTGTACTAAAAACTAATGTTTTTTCAATATAAGAAACGAAAGACAACGTTTTTAATGATGAGTATAAATTAATAGTTGGTAAACAAACGAATGAAGAACAAGCGCACTTTCCCAGAATCTAACAGTCCATTTACGAAGAAAAAAGCTATGAGTTTATACCACAAATATAGCAATTTTAATTTAGGATTTTTTTCAAACACAATATCACCAAAACATCTGTTGTCTTGATTTTCACCTTCATCGTCACACGGATAATTACAGTCAGATCGAAACTATAAAGATTCTATCCTTTAACATTTTTATGTATGAACGATAAATCTGAAATATGTTTGAAAAAAATTGTTATTAACATCGACAAAAATCTTACAAACAGAGTCGTTTTAGAATTAGAACTAATTATATATCTACAGAAAGAGTGACAAGACAAAATAAAAACAATCATACTGGTCATTGGTAGAATTTTACTCAAGATTGCGAGGTTATAATCGACTATTTTGCAAAGAACGTCTCTCTTTGATGTTAATATTACATACAACTTTTAATGTTGTAGAATCAAAGTGTAAATTTTTTTAGCAGAGTGTACATCGTACATTTTGTATTTTTGAGCAAAGTGTAAATCAGAGTGTAAATGAAAAATAGCAGATGTTCTGTACATTTTGCTTATGCTGTGTACACCTGCTATTGGAAACACTGCTCATGATGATCAATAGAACATATACATATATGACAGGAAAGAAAAAAAAGAAAAAAAAATATATATGTATATGTAATACACTGGACATAAGTTAGCGTCATAATGGGACATCTGTTGACGCTAACAAAGAAATTCTGCAATATTTCTATTTTTCATTCCATTCATATTTCATCTTCATCACTTTACAAAGAACAATCTCTATAGTGATTCAAAACTAGATATTCTCTAAACAACATTTATCATTGTGTCAAGTAAACCATCGCAATTTAATAAGATCAATGAAAAATTATGTAGTTGTCCTTTCTGCATTCTACATATTTATCGAAATTAATTTTCTATTTTTCACTTGATCAAATGTATTGATAGTTGCTATCGTATCAAACAATTTGGCATAATAGCCTAAAGAAATGAATACAATTGAGATGTTACAAAATTCATGAAGAAATTCAATGATATATTTTATGAGGAAATTTCTACACTTGACATCGAATAATAGAAGAAAAACGTATATTTCGTTGTTAACATTGAAACTGTAGAAGTAAATGCGTGTATCAATCAAATATCCTTCTATTACTAAACTTTCTAAATGTATCTGACGTGAACAATCTAGATTCGAGATTGATATCGATCAACTTCGTGCAGGTGAACAACCAAAAAAAAAACAAAAAAAGAACGTTATCGAATTTTGATACACAATTGAAAAGAATCGTACTGTATTATGATATTAACAATATCAAGGAATATTTAACTCGCATTACTATAACCTTGAATATTAACATTTAAATTTAGTAAAATACACTTGATTTCATACTGCTATAATAAAAATGACTTGTCACAATTTGGTACGAAATGTCATGTACTGAAATAAACGATCATCGATAAGCCGATATTTCTTTGCAGAGATGTGATTGTGTTCTTTTCTGGATATTAGTTGAATTTCTAAATATAGCGTATGTTTTTTAGTATGAAATAGTACCACATCAATTTGTTTGAACTAGGTGAAATGCCTCATCTATATGGTTCATCATTAAGTAGATAGGTGCCAAAAATATTAATCTAATACAATAGTTTCTCTCTAGTGCAAGAACACATGCTTTATTTAAATAACTAACTAATATCCGAAAAACCTTATATATTAGTAAGGAAATATCGATTCATCTTCAAACTGTGAGATAGAAGTTAGTATTAAATAGCCTACCAGAATCATGGATTGGGTCCAATTAGAACTTACATAAGCGACATTGATCGATCAATTATAAGATTTTTTATTTATATCTGATCACTGCAAGTGACCGATTCCAATCATGGCTAATGTTGTGAAATCCGATATGTGAAACCGTTCGATTTTTATATGGACTGATCTATCCCGATGCTAGGAATGAAAAGAGTTTCATCATGAAAACATATTACAGCGGATTCTGATGATTTCCTGATATCGGATAATTATGTCAAACGACGGATTCCAACAGTCGGATTTCATCGTTTCTGACAATATAAATCCGTTCGGAATCTATTGAATCTGATAACGGAGCCTCAAAGGAAAAAACCGTACGTAGTTGGATACTGGTGAAAAGTTTTCAATCGTTTTAGACAAGCGATTTTCAAGTCTATGCAACAGGATGTGATCTTGGGAGATTGACCTATGTATACTAACATGAAGGAGTCAAAAATCGAATATTTTTGCCGAAACACTATCTTTTTTGTTCAATAAGTTCTTGAAAATATCATCATTCGATAGAGAATCAAATTTTGCATTCGACACAACCATTTAGAGAGCCAACATAAGTTCAGAAGTGGATGGCAGAAAGGATTTCTGGTAGGATGCGGTCAAAAATTCAGTGTGCTAGTCCAAAACTGTCTGTTTTACTGCGTGAAAATGATACGATTCGATAGAGAATGAAATTTTTCATCTCAAACAAGCAACTAGAAAGACAACACAACAACGTATACATGAATCCGGGCAAGAAAATTCTGGTTACAATGCTTACTTAAGTTTATTTTACAACACATGTTTTTCAAAATTAAACAAAATTTCTGATAAAAACTAGCATTTTATTGTGATTTTACTAATTGTGTTTTGTTGACATTATTTTAGAAGATAATATAATGACGTGTTTTATGTAAAGACAATAACTTGAAAAAAATCAATTTATGCTATTGAGTTTACTGGAAATTAATTTAGAAGTTTTCAAACAGAAAAGAATCTTTTTACAGTCAGTAGTTAACCAACTATAGGCAAAGTTATAATCGACACATTAGGTCTTCAGATGGTTCCATATTTTTACAAACTAATTTGATAAAATTGTTTGAATACCCATGAACCACTTCCATATTTCTAAAAAGTGGATGAATGACTCTAATTTCGTTTATATTAACACTCGATCCTGGATAATCACAATTGAATTGTTTTAATTTTTGTGGTATAGATATAAGAAAAGCAGCTAAATTAGCAAAATCAATCGAAATACTTTTATTATAAATATCTAAATATAAACGATGTAATTTCGGACCAATTAAATAAGAAATATCATCATAAATTAAACGTGAAAAGCCAATTCGTAATGATACAAGATTTTTGATATTTATTGGTGTAATCCAATTTGAATGATCATCAGAAAGCATATCTATATGTAAATATTTAATAGAAGGAACAAGTACTAGAAGTTGACTAAGTATCGTTCGTGAACATGTGATACCAGATAATGTGCAAAGATTATAATTAGGTTGCCATGTTGTTTTTAAATTAGGAAGGGGAGAAAACAAAAAATTACAAGAACGAAGAAAATGCCATCGTTGGTGTTCGTTACCAAATAAACAATCAAAGATAATCTAGACAAAAAATAATATTATAATAAAGAAAATTTTTTTAATATTTTCTTTCATAAAAATATTTACCATAGTAGCAGGACCAGTAAGATATTCAAGCATTGGTAATGATCTTGATTGAATTGAATTAGATTGCGATTCAGCCGGTTCGACCATTGTTAATGAACGTAATCGTAAAAATCGAATTAGTTTAATCGATGGACAAATATTATATAGACGTAAACGATCACAATTCGTTGAAAAATAATGAGCTAACATTAAATTTTGTTTATTTTCTCGAAAAATATCAATACTCAAACGAACAAATTCAAGAACTATATCAAATCGTTGATTAAGTCCAGCAAAAGCATGATAGATATCATTAGGTGATGAAATATATTCGATTATATTAGTTATTACTTCATTAGGAAGATTTTCAAACGTAGTGATCATTATTTTCTAAAAACTTGTTTCCTCAAATAAATAATCTTGAATAAAAGAGAATGTTAGATTTCTAAGATTTATTATATGGTTGAAATAATTAAAGATGTTACACTGTTTAATGAAATTTAGATAAATTAATGTTGATCAACTAAGATAAAAAGATTGAATAAGAAAGAAGAATAACTATTTATTCGGTAAATATAACTGATTTTATTAAAAAGTTTTAATGCCATTCTAATCGAAGACAACGTTTCTATCGAAGCAACCGATTGATTTCTATTCACTCATTTTATTTGATCACAGCTTTGCCGACTAGTCTAATTGCGTTTCATGAGTCACGTGGAGCAAGACAAGTGGTTGGAGAAGGATAAAAAAAAATACAATGTAGTGGTTGATGTTTACAGGTAATAAATAATTAAACAAAAATCGAATATAATGATATCCGGCGTTCGTTACATGTCACATTACTGTACTATTTTCGCAATTTTTTTCTTCCGATTGACATATAAGGTAAATAAACCAGTAGGAGAGCTATGATTTGTTTTTTTTCTGAATAATTTCAATAGTTTTTCTTTTTAATTGAATATTACGTTAAAATAATAAGCGGTGAAGCCAGGGATGTAGTCAGGAATTTTCCAAAGATGAGGTGTCCAACTTGTTACGGGAAGAGTGCACGACAACAGTAAAATAATTTTTTATTTTCTCGAAAACAGTTTTTGTCCGTATTCCTCGCCGAATATTTTCTGGCCAAGAGGGATACACAGACACAGCGTGCACTCCCGCCGATATGTCATTGAGTGAAACCGTTTTGTTCTGCTAAGATTAAACTTTGACACAATTCTTTGAATTCGTTCATGATTGCTGACTATTTCTTCACATGTTATAGCATTCATTGCTGTAATGTGGTTCGTATATAAATCAATAAAATACAGTCAAATCTCATCAGTAGATGCACACTTGTTGTCGAAACTGATTTATGAGAATCACTTTTCTTATCCTTCCTCATTCGAAATTTGCTCTTTTTACATGTTTTAATTGCGTTGATATTCCAAATTTTACTTGTAGTAATTTTATTTCTAAATAGAACAATGATTTTTTTTTATTATAAAGTTGAAGTTTTATTGTATGGCACCTCATAGGTGTTGACAGCCAGAACATAAGTATGATTACGTAAAACAAAAAATTTTCGTGAACAGAAAAAGAAAGAGAGAAATCAAGAAGAAGAAGTTAGAAATATATTAGGATGATTATCGACATGTTTATGCTTTGATATAAAGCGAGTGTATAAGAGAAAAACACAATAGAAATGTCTAAATCATTTTATCCATACGACGTTACACAGCTTATCGAAGAAAGTGGCGTTGTTGTTTTGTGAAAGAGATACGATTCGTTTGTTTGATCTACCAACGGGAAGGCCTCAAATATACGATTTTTCATCGTCATATTTTTACACGTTGTTCGTAACGTTTTTAAGTAATAAAATGCAATTCAATATATCTTGTTCAAATGTTGAAATTTTTTTCATTTGTTTTCTGTATACATTTTTGAAATTTTTCTTCTAAAGTTGGTAGATTTAATGCATCATGAAGATCAATGATTGATGATCTGTATACTCAATAGATAAGCCTAAGGCAACGCCTGTAGAAAGAGTTAATACGGCTTTGGCTAGTGTGTTGAGAATAAATAAAAAATTTTTACCAAAATATAAAGATGAGGCCATGTGTATGTTTGAAAAAACCATATTTTCAAGGCAAAGAAGGTTGGAAATATTTGATGAATATATTTGAGTATTGAGTATGATTTTCTTAACTTGAATAGTTGAGCATCTATCATAGTATAAACGATACTTTGAAGTTTAGGTGAAATCCTAAATATTTGAATAAATTTTGTTGTTGAATAGATTGTTCTTGATAAGTTATTTGCATATTTAGAACTGGAACTGTCTTGTGATAAATAACGAATTCAGTTTTCTTTTTATTCACTGGTTGATGATCGGAATCAGCGTACTTATTCGAGTTTGACAAGGTCGTTGTTATAACAAGATTTATTGTAGTATCTGATCTTAAAGATGTTTTCATAACTTGGTTTTGAATTTCATAGATTTTATTATTGTCAAGACATTCTGCTAATGCTCTTCTTTTATAATTAGTCGAGATGCATCTCCAATTTGGGTGCTTCTCTTCAAATTATCGACAATAATAATATTATCAAACTTTTGGATTAATGAAGACATGATTTTTAATGATAATAGTTCGTTTAATGGGGAATAGATCGAGGCAATGATATATGTTTGATTTTTGACTGTAGCTTGAACTGCTACTAGATCTAGTTAATTGATTTTCAACTGAACAGCATCGAGTTTCTTGACTATTGCAAATACGTAATGTCGTCATGTGAATTAGTACATTTGCTCGTAAATATAGTGTATGAGAAGAGAAGCTGCTTAATTGTTTTATTCGGAATGTTTGTTCCTAATTTGTTCAGAGATATTATAGTTGGATTGTATTGTGCAATTATGTCGAACAAGTCGCATTGGTTTAAGCCGAAGTGTGACGTTTATTCGGGTTATGATTGCTATGATTGTCGAATAGGATTTGTCAGACTTGGGTGGTGGAAGTTGTTGGAACTTCCCTTTAGAAGATTGTTTGTTGTTGTGTTTGATGAATCATCGGTCCTTGTCATCACTTAAAAGTGTTGAATAGGATGATGAAAAGAAAGAGAACAGAAAGAGAAAGAATCGTGCACAACTATGCATGTGAAAGTATATCAGATGTATAAAAAAACATTCGATCACTATCAATGCATACGAAGAAATGATTAAACAATCATTCCACATATAAAATTCTGTATATATATATATATATATATATATATATATATAAAATATTCGTTTCATATTCCTTTGTGTGAAAATTTTTCCTTGATGTCAAACGCTTAAATTCGTTTGCATTCATATGAGTGTCCTATCAAAATAAATTGTGTAGACGAAAACACCTTAGACTACTATGCGTTAGACACTACAAAACCTGGGTGTATGCGTGACATGATTGCAGCCAAACTACGTGAATAATAATTTCCTTCAATGATTCTTACAGATATATCTAGTATACTCATGTCTGTTAACGCGTTTTTGTCTTTAAATTTTGTGACTGACTAGACTGTCTTATACATATATATATATGAGTGATTCTGGTGTCTATTGTACCGTTTTTCGAAAAAAAGTAAACAGCTGCACTTAAAGGTGTCACCATCTGATAGAGAATACTTTGAAGTATATGAAAAAATCGTTTTGCAAACTACCATTCTTTTTCTTTGTCTGATTTAGAGACCGAAAGGGTTTTAGGAACTTATTAAGGATTTTTGTAATCTTATTTGAGTAAAAAATGGTGATATCTAGGAATTAACATGATGTTATAGATTTCAAAATATTTGCTTTCGAGTTGCATATCCAGAAGAAGTACAAAAATAATCAATTTTAGACAGATCTTTTTTTTCATATTTTCAACCAGGTTGGAAGGTGGTATCAACTAGAGAATGACATATATCCTAGTATTTTTTTAATAACTTTCTTCAGAAATGAATTAGAGTCTTGGTATTTGCTGTATAAGTTGTGCTTCTCAATTGGCATTTGTAGTAAAAAAATCAGCTCTTAACTCTTTGTAGTTTGGTCAGAAAATAGGCAAAAGGGAGTGGGACAAATTATCGATCACACGCTAATGAATGCCACTATAATGTAAATTATTCAAAAGTCGTAAAAGGTAGTAACTTGCGGTTTTCAGCTCTCGATAGTGCCCAAATTGATGAATCTTTTTATGTGATAAAATTTGAATTAAAAGGTTTATTGGCTTCACAGTAGATTCAAAAGAGGGTGGGACACTGTTTTTTGACGTTTTCTGGAACCAGTGATAGAAGTTCAATTTTCTATGAAATAAAGATGGCTGAAATAAAAATAAGATTATAAATGCATAGTGCATTCAAAATGCTATAAGAAATCTAATAAAACATTATTTACTTTTTCCATTTCTAGATGGAAAAAAAAAGGCAGAAACGAAAGAAGCATATGAGGAACCATCATAAAAACGTATAAAAAAAGAGGAAAAAGCGACTTTGTTTTGAACACCACTCGTAAACGGTGATAGGTAGAAAGCTGATTTTTGCAGCAGCAATAGAGCATCATCAACAGATACTTTGGTGTAAATTTCGATCAATTCGAACAAGCACGAGCTGAGAAATAAAGAGACCCATTTTTGAAGGTCAAATAGTACAATTTACTCTGGAATGACTCATATATATATGTATATATGGGTGTGAAAAGTCTTCTGCACTAGAAAAATAAAATGGTAAAGAATAAAGACATTAACTATTCTTGTTTGATATAATTATTTTAATTATTCATCTAGAACCAAGGTGATTTTGAGTAGAGAATACCGAATTTTATTAAGATTTCACTAAATAATTAATAATAAATTTGATTTGAAATATGTTATCTATTTTATTATTATTTATTTATTTATTTATTTCGTCGTTTAGTTAAAAATAATTCTCAATCTATTTCATCGATATTGAATTTTCATTTGACTTTGATTTATCTTTCATATATTTTTCATCAATATCAAAAACAAATAATTCGAATGTTATCGTTTGTATTTACTTTGTCTCATCTACTTGTGTAATTATGTCGATATAATATTATACGTCGGTGAGTTTTCTATTTGTAAACATATAATAAAAGGGATAAACAAAAAAAGAGAAGACGAAGCATAATTATCCATTGACATTGACTAATACAATACGTAGCCTACATAATTATGCTTCTTATCATTTTTTTTACTCGTAATTTTTAGATATTCTAAGCAAGATGTCGAAATTAATATTATCATATTTATTCAAAACAAATTTAGCAGAATTTCGTTCGGCTATATTAGATGATAATACTGATAGAATTTGTCGTATTTTGGATATTGAACGTGATTATCTTTATAGACAAATAGATAGTCATGGGAATACGGCTCTTTTATTAGCTATTAAATATGCATCACCGTTAACTGTTCATTTATTACTTGAACAAGGTGCTCAATCTGATCAATCAAATCAAACTACTTTTCAAACACCGCTTGCTTTAATAGCTTCTAAAGTATATGACGATTATCATTCACATAAAGCAAAAAAAAAACTTGAAATGGCTAAAATTCTACTAGATTATGGAGCTTCTGTAGATATACTTACATCACATACTTATAAAGATGAAGTTGGTCAAGATTACTCAAGCAAAGAAACACCTTTGATGACAGCTGTAAGAAAAGGAAATTTACCATTAGCAACATTATTAATCGAAAGGAAAGCAAATGTTAATTATATTGAAAGACATTCAGGAATGCGACCGTATGTATTTTATATTATTATTGATTTTATATTTTATCAATACAATTTTTTATATTTAATCTAGTATTCATTATGCAATAGCAAATGGAAATGAACCTATGTTTGATTTATTAGAAAATGCTGGTGGTCTATATACTTCTTTAGTAATTAATAGTGGAAATACTTTATTACATTGGTTTTGTTGTAAAAAAGAAAATGATGAACATATAAATTTATTAAATAAATTAATTGAAAAAGGATGTGATATCAATGCAAAAAATTCTCATGGACAGACTCCATTAATGTTTGCTGTTAAACATAATATGATAAATACATGTCGTATACTTTTAGAAAATGGAGTTGATATTGATGAATGTGATTGTACTGGTAATCAAGCTATTGATTTATCAATACCAGGTAGTGAATGTTCAAGGTTACTTCTTCAAGCGGCAAATAATCGAAAATCTAAATCAAGTAATCAGAGTAGTCAAAGTAGTGAGTCAAAGAGTAAAATCGTTTATACACGACGGATTACTAACAAACGACGATCTACTGCTGAATCAAGTGAAATTAATTTTGATACGACAATAGATCAATGTATTTCGTGTAGTTCTCCTAATGAAGAAAAAGAAGAAAAAAAAAGTATATCGTCTCATCTAAATATTTATCCTATTCGACGAACAAATAGTGAAGATATAACTCCAAAATATGACTATATATGGGAAAAATTACGAAGAAGATGTGAAAAACGACGAGAGTCAAGAAACTTATCCAGACAAACAGATCTTACCTATATGGAAGCTAAGTCGACGTTGTAACTTTCGATCGATTTTTTAAATAGTATACAGAAATTTGTAATCATTTCATTCCATTTATATTTAAAGATTTCTTTAGTGATTATATAGTTTTCAGAAAAAAATAAATAAATCAGCTCAAATATTATTTAATTAATAATTATTTTAGTTATGTCGATGAATCGCAATTCATATATTGATCATATTCATAAAAAGATATAGAACTAGAGATGATTGTTGATATCAAAAAATTTTTTTTTCTTAGTTACAAAAAATAATTCTCATATTGGTTGATCGATTTTGATGTTAAACTTTTATTAGAATCCATATGATATAGAGAAAGAATTACTTTATTAACTAAATTATTATAATTCTTCAGTCTCAAATTCAGGTTGATAATAAATTATTTTAATTATTTCTCATGAAAAGAATTTTTATTATTTGACCACTATACTTAAATATTTACTAGAGGACATATTATTGACTATGTAACGTTATCATCGCACGATTTTCAAACTTTTATCTTATATGAAAAATTATACTGTTTAATTTCTTCCATCAACAGCAACAAAAAAAACGAAATCACCTCAAATTCCACAAAAGAGTAAGTGATTTAAAATTTACTGGATGTCTTTCTGCTTCTAAAATCTAATCGATTTCAGTAGATATACGTTTGCTTGTTGTCAATAACACTGGTATGAAACACAGCGTCTATATCAAACGTCATAACTATAGATATATCAGTGTCCGACTTGGGTCAGGTCAGACCTCGAATCGAATTACGAAGAAAATAGTTGACCTTGAATTGGGTCATGGTATGGGTGGATGTCAAAAATTTGATTCATGTCGGACACTGGAATAAACACATGAATACTTTTTCCATCACATTAATACATATTCACCTTTTTGATAATTCACTTTTCTCTCCATGTATTCAACTACTTCGTTATATGATTCATCGTCATTTATAGATGAATTTTCATTAGAAATGAATTCTTTTTTGTAACATAACATCGCTTTCCATCTCTGTGACCTGTTCTCAAATACAATAAATTGCTCAATCAAGATCGAACCGATTTTCGCTGCTATGCTTTTATATCAATTAGCAATGTGAAGAAGTAAAAATGTTTTGAAACGTTGAGATCTCATTCATTGTTGAGTCAACCCCGAGTATAACTTCATACCCGGGACCCAAATCGACATTTTTTTTTCATGCTAGGCACCCGAATCGACCCAGCAAGTTTGCATCTGAACCGGATATATGCGGGACTGGGACTACAAGAAAAAAATTTGCCAGGTCTCGAATTCAAGTTTATAGTAAAATATTCTATGATTTTAAGCAAATTATCTTATAAATCATATGAATCAGAACATAATTAAAAAGAGATGATCTAAAAAAAGTGTTAGTCTTCGACTAAATAAATAAAAAAAAAACGAATATTGAAGAGTTATTCTAGATACAACACTAATAAATTCTGCAATAGTTTTCTCTAGATTGAGACCCAAAAAATTCAAATCATCGGGGTCGAGACCAGAAAAAACTTGACTCAGCATATGTCTAACCTGGATCCATGCTTCGGGCCGAATCGACTGCTGGGTATCTCACTCGATTACAGAATACTAATTTATAGATTAAAATAACATATTTAATGTCTATCAAGTACTCGAATTGCCAAGTTCAGAAATGCTGTTCTCGATATATGTGTTCAATAAAAGTTATTCAATATTATCGTTTTCTTCTATATTTATATCAACATCTTCGTCTTTTTTGTCAACTTCTCCGTAATTCTTTACATTCTTAATATAGTGTATAGATTTCTTTGACAAAGAATCATTGTTACTAAACTGTTCCAAGATCTATGAGTAACTATACTTCGTTTCCTATGAACATGTCACATGATAATGATCTTACTGAATAGTATTGCTAGTAAATATTCAGTTTATAAGTCAGTCTCCATTTCTTTTATAACTACGTCAATAAGAACAATAAATTACACCGCTCTTGTTTAACGACTACGCAAACAAAAAAATGTAAGAAATGCGTCCCAGTGAGATAAAAAAAAACAAAATAAGAAATGCATCACAGTGAGGTGAAAAAAACTAAAATAAGAAAAGCATTATGCATGGCAAATGAATCATTATTTGTATTTGTTAATAGTTGTCGTCATTCACAAAAAAGGATTAATTGTAGCGGATCGTAGACTCTATGTGATGATACCCTTAATACATCATAAATATCTTTTATTTCATATAAAAAGAGAAAAGAGTATAAAAAGGGTCAAAGCTGAAAAAAAATCAAAAGTTCAACGTGAATGTGAGACCTTAAATGAAAAATCAGAGCAGCCCATGATTTGATCCCATCCTATTTTGCCTTCTTTTCAGTTCGATCATAATTGATCAAATTAAAAGGAGATAACAAGCTTTCGTTTATCGTCATAACTAGTCATTTAAAGAATTCATTCGAGAATGAATTTTTTCATTGAGCAGAATCCCTATAATAATTCAGCTTCAATAAAATGATGCGTGTTAGCGATTATTGTTGAGAGACATATTAGATACGAAAAGCAAACAACAATTAACATGCAATTCTCAACTACACATAGTAATGCACTTCCCAGTGAAAAATATTTATCAAAAAAAAACGGCAAAGAACGTGTTCCACTTTCGTAGAAAATTTTTTCCAAGAGAAAAACGTTTACTATAAAAGTGGAGTGCGTTCTTGATTGTTCCATTTTGGAACACATTCCAGTTTTTCTGAAACGTTTCCTTTTCTTAAAAAACGCTAAGTTTTTTTTTTTGGAACGCGTCCTTGGTTATTGTCACCTAGATTCACATTCCCTACAAGAATCGTTGAAGAGAAGTAAAGTTAACACCTGATTCGTCGAGAGATCTGTTCTAGTACAATTCGACGAGCTCTATCCAACGGTGTGCTCCGATTTTTCGTAGCTCAAACTATTATTTGAAATATTTTTTTTTAAGAAATCAGAACTGCCAGCTGTGGGATACAACTCGTCGATGTTCCACCATTTTTAGAGTAATTTTCAATGTATTGTATACCAGAGCTGTCAATTTTCAATAAAAATCGATGTTGAATCCAGATGAAGCGTTCAACAACTTAGAGGAACGCTCAAGAATACATTCTTTTTTTCTAAGAATGATAGAATATCTGAAATGCATTCATCAGTTCAAAGAAACCATTCTCAGATATTCTCATAGAGAATGTCAAAGAAAACAATCTCATTTTGATAGAACTCTAACCTTATCGTTTCAAAAAAAGAATGGATAGAAACTCATTCTATTAGTTTATGAAACGGTTCAGAACGCTTTCTATCTAGATAGAGATGGCTTTTGAGCTGAGAAGAAAGCATTCCATAATAAAGTGGGACAACAAAGAATGGGTTCCTTTAGACTCAGCATGTTTCTTTTCGTTTATGAACGTGTTCAGTAAACTGTGGAGCACGTTCTTCACGTAAAAGACAAGTTTCCATGTTTTTATGAACATGCTCTTTGACATTTTTTTTTCATAAATATTTTTCACTGGGTAGAACAATAAATCATTATTCTAAATAAGAACGAAAACATTCATTGACTTTTGTTTAAGAAAAGCTGTTAGTGCAATCCCTGTGGAATTAAAATATGAAACATAATATAGTTTCTCTTACTAATCACAGGAAGATTGCTTTATTTTATATATTTTTAGACATATTTCTTCATCATGTTGTTACTTAATCCTCCAGAAATACAATAAAGAAATAGTTTATATATTAGAACAAGACGTTATTTATATACAGCCTTAGATAGTATATCAACAACGTCTGTCACGATCTATGATAGGTTCCTAGACGTCTGCCATGATCTGAGGTGAAGGAGCAAGGCGGAGTGGGTTCAAATTTCTACCCTCTACACTTCAACACTCCTTTTCGATCATGTTTCATGAAATAGTTATCATTCATTAATAGCAGAGATGTAACCAGTCTGATCGGTAAGTAGCAATCTACCGATAACTGACAGGCTCATGTACTGAAACTTTATTTTATAGTAAACTGATGTAAATTACTAACATATATCGTGTATTCGAGAAATTTCAATGATTCTTTGAAAATGTTCAATATGTTACCTTTAATTAAAAACGAACAATACAATAGAATATTGTTACATTGTATTAGATATCATTACCAGAAATAGAACCGGTCTGTTGTTTTGACGACTGGTGTCAGTTTCATCTCTGATCAATAGATTCAACCAATTGAATTATTCTCTGATTATTATAATGAAAAATTTTTGATTTTCAATACATTCTTATAGAAGTATTCTATAATTTTTTATTATTATTAACCTAAAATGGCCTTTTCCAATAGTCTTTTAAAGCATCGTCATCACTAATTTTCTTTCGTATATCTTCAAGTTCATCAATTTTATATCTTGTAAATTTTCCACGAAGATGTTCTGGTAATACTTTTCTTCCTGGACATGACATTTGTCCATAAACTAAACACATACAATAATGTGCACAATCTTTTCCAAAATTTGCTGGATTTTCTAATCGTGCTGTTAATTCAGAATCAATACGTTGTTGTAAATCACTTTTTCCCATAACACGTCGAATAGAATCATGAATTTCATTTGATGTTTTTTTATAACAATCCATATGAACAATTTCATAATTATTATCTAAATTTGTTTCATTATCAATATCATCTGTTGACGAACGAGATAAATAAAATGATACAAATGGTGTTGGTGTTGTATTTTTAAATTGAACACATTGAACATTTGGATTTTTATATTGAATTTGTGCTAAATGCCAAAATATAAAACGACGTAAACCATCTGAATCCGGTTTATCAAGTGTATAATTAAGAGTAAATATTCGTACTATTGGACGAAATATTATTTTTCCTGATTCAAGATAAGCAAGTGTATTACGCCACGGGGCAGCACCCCGCATAAACATTGGAGCTGGCATCTATAAAGATATACATTATAATAAATGCTATGATGTATTTTTATTTTCATCGATTCCA